GTTGGGGTCACCAGAGGGGCAGCCTATGGCAGGAGTGCAGAGTGAGGTCAACAGAAGGGCAGCCTATGGCAGGAGTGCAGAGTAAGTTGCACATACACATACCTCTCTAGTTATAACAAGACGTATTAACTCCTTCATCACCACACCCCCTTACATTAATGGAGGAATACTGAATCCAACATGGACCTGTCCCAAGCAAGGGACAGCTAGGGAAATATTAGGCTTTGACATAGCCAGAGCCACTGGATGAGGTTATAATTTCCTGACTCTTATTCATCTTTCCCTCCCAGCAATAAATAGAAAACAGACGGTACCTGCTGAAAAAGGCATGAAGGCCTCCTTCTTCACAAACTTTCCTTCAGCATCAAGAAAATGCTCAGGATAGAAAGCACCTGGCTTCTCCCACTGAGATTTGTCTTGCAACACAGAGGTCAGCAGGGGGATGATGTAAGTTCCCTGGAAATCAAATTTGTGGAGTTATCCCATAGAGGAATATGGTCATTTGATCACTCCTATAGTAATAGGAGTTAAAAAGTACAGCAATAAATCCTGTCAGTACTGCCATAGGACATCTGATCCAGTCTGATTTAACAAGAACTAACTGAGCCAGGACTCCAGAGGGTTTACAGCTAAGAAAAGAGAAGCAAAGCAGTGCTGCTGGCAGCTCACCTTTGGGATAAAGTAGCCCTTTAAAGTTACATCCATTGTAGTCTCATGAGGCAAGTCCATTGGCAGGATGTTAGCAAACCTCTGAATTTCATGAACAACTGCATCTGCGTAGGGCATCTTACTTCGATGTTCTATACGTGGAGGGTTTGATCCTAGGACTCTCTCGATCTCCTCCTGGACTTTTTCTGCAAACATTTGTAAATATTAAAGGAGGAGACCAGAATTCACTGATCCCAAAGAAATGCTGTATGTTTCTGCTATGGAATACATGAAATCACATTGCAACCATACAGACAACTCTCAGAAATTTCTCTGCTTCCAAAAATAATGGGGTACTGACCTTATTGTATCTGCTCAGGACTATCACAATTGAATGGAGAGCTTCTGAAGACACATAGATAACCCACTCACTTCATTAAATTGCCAAATAATAATATACAGCCATTTAACACAAGCTGAAGAGAGGGACTCTGATGTCCTCTTGGTATGCTATATTATAAAGTTCTGTCAAAATCAGAACGGTTCACAAATTCCTTTTGAGTTTGCTAAAATATTACTTTAGAAGAAAACTAGAAACCAATTCTAATGAACATCAAATGTCAGCCTTTTCAGGAAAAAAAATTGTATTTTTTATGTTGAAATGACTGTCCTTTGTGTTCTTATATAGCAAAAAGGCTAAATTGTAAGGAATTTTTCAATTAAATTGAAATGAGTAGCTCACATTGTTTTGGAAAAAATCTATTTCATTAATCATTTTGGAGCAAAAATATCCCATTTTGATTAATAATTATTTGACTTTTTCACATTTATTTTATATATGGTAATGTAATACAGAATTAAAGTCAAAATTAAAACTGAAATTGCTTTTAGAGAGATTAAATGTTTTGATCATCATCTTTCTATATATATATATAGAGAGAGAGAGAGAGAGAGAGAGAGAGAAAGGATGATAAAGCATTTCATTTCTCTCTAAAAGCAATTTCTGTTTTAATTTTGATTTTAATTCCACATTTCATTTATATACTATAATGCTATAGTATATTATTAAATAGTATATATAACTTATATATATTATTAGTTATATATAACATCTATATTATTAGTTATATAAAATATATATAAATATATCATTAATATGTTATTCTATATTATTAATATATATAGTAATGGTAATATTAATGTATAGTAATATGCTATAGCGTTATACAGTAACATATAGTAATTACTATTTTGGGGAGAATTTTTAACAGTTGATTTTTGTTCTGACTGGGTAAAGACTCATATTGAATTCTTGCGATTCATTATGAAATGGATCTTCTGTCACATCAATCTACTTCAAACCTCCTCAATTAATAAATGGTAACTAGTCAAACCTCTGCACCCTCCTACCATGAACAAGAAGGTGTGGTCAAAATCAGGTCAAATTTAGAGCTTAGGAGTTCCTGATTTTGCATCCCATGATCAGCACACTGGATCACATGACCGTACTTATTTAGAAAAAAGACTCTTGGAGTCATGTGACCTGTGACTGAGGGATTATTTTTCCAACATGTTTGTCTTCATTTGTGGGGCAGGTTCCTGTGTTGGCCTCCTCTCGGTTTCACCCATGTCAGCCTGTTCCTGTTTGAGGGTTATATACTGATTCTCTGAAGCAGCCTTTAAGCAGGAAGTTCCCTGAGTGAAATCACAAGAGAGGTATCATATGAAATTTGGAAACAGTGTTTGAAAAATGGAAACAAATATTTCTTTATTTGTAAGAGCTAAAGAGAAATGTGACAGCAGAGGAAATTGAAAAATGGCTGAAAATATAAGGCAGCAATGGCAACAGCAACAGTTTAGCCAGTTCAAAAAGGGATTGGACAAATTCTTGGAGAAAAGGGGAATCAGTAGCTACTGAGCATGATAGTTAGGGATACAGTGTTAGAACTTCCTAGATTAAATGCTGGAGGCTGCACATGAGAGAAATAGAGAAAGAAACTAGGGGTGTGCAAAGTGGGCCCTTATTGATTCATATTCAGCCCAGATCAGGGACAGTGATTTGATTCGTTGATTCAGATCACTGTCTCTGATTCGATTTGACCAAATCTGAATCTGAAGATTCGATGCTGATTCTGGGAATCAGCGATTCGGACATAGACACATTTTTTCTACATACCTGGAGGTACCAGCATGGCTGGTGAACACTGCAATGCTGGGGCAGATGGAGCTTCCCACAGGAGTGCGGGGGGTGGCGGGGGTATCCACATGCTTGGTGATCAGCCACAGAGTACTTCCAGTCCACTTCCAAGTCTGCAGGGGAGCACGCTGGGGGAACCCCCACACCCCTCTGGCTCGGCAGTTGGCTGTGGGAGGACATAGGTACCCCAGACCTAGAAGCCACCAGTCACTGAGCCAGGCAGTGCCAGGGAGCCCCCCAGCACATTGCCTGGTGGACCCGGAAGTGGACCAGAAGTGCTTCTGGTTCACTTCTGGGTTTGCTGCCAAGTGCACTGGGGAGCCCCCCACACTTCTGTGGGACACTCCATGTGTCCCAGCATCACGGTGTTCATGAACCATCTGCTACCTAGAGGTATGTAGGAAAAACATTTAAAGCTATGTGTATGTCCAAAACTCCAAATCCTTCTGAATCTCTCCATATTGATTTGGAGGGTTCTGATTTGATTCAGAGAAATTAAAGGGCCTTCTGATTCGATTTGGATTTAGACGTTCAGCCACCGAATCAGGACAAATCTCCGTTGTATTGAATTAGGGACCAAAGCTTCACACAGCCCTAAAAGAAACTGCGGTCATACACAGTTCACTCTCCCTTTTAGTATCCACTCTCTGCCACTGTAATACAGGATACTGGGTAAGATGGACCTATCATCTCACCCAATAAATTGCAGTTCTTTTGTTATCTTATATGTTCTTATAACAACAGCAATACTTGTTCTGTTATAGAGCCAAAGTCTGGATCATCCAGTGCATCATTAACCCTTTCCTTCAGCAAGTAAGGGGTAACAGCCCTGAACCCAGGAGAGCTGTGCTGATGTCAGTAGACTGAATTCTATAAAGTTGCAAGAGGAAAGCACTTCCATTAACCAGAACCCAACAGCTCCATATTTACATAGGTGTAACTGGGCATGTCTACATGTGTATTAATGTGCCATGGTTCCTGTTGATTAAGTTTAGTACCTGTAATAACAGATATTAACTAAATGTGCAGAACCACAGCTTTTGCCGTGATGCGCTAATGCGCAGTAGAATTAATCTACTGTGCATTTAGTGTCTCATGTAGACACACCCACTGAGATCCAAATCTGGCTGCAGGGAAATAAAAACCCTAACTCATTCACAAGATGAGCCACAGAGGACATGGAGTTGTTAATGGCTCTCTACTGAGGGGCCTCGTTATCTTACCTCAAGCTACTAGCACCTTGGTTTTGGGGTTTTCCAGTTCAATATGCAGTGTGCTGAGCACCACTGTTGTTCTCCTAAAAGCACTTACGCTGAATTTCAGGGTACTTCATCATTAGCAGAAAGCCCCAGCTCAGCGTGGTGGAAGTGGTCTCCAAGCCAGCAGTAAACAAGTTGGTTATGAGGGCTTTCAGATTGCCATCTTGGAAATAACTATTTGTGTCATTTTCTTCCTGGAGGGAAAAAATAAGACTCAAACGTCTCCATTAGAAACAGAGCCCATGAGGGAGAGAGAGAGAATGGGAGTACAGTTGTACTGAGTCCCCAACCCTGGGGGGCACCCACAAATTATGAGAATTTTCCATCTTAATAGAAATTAAAATAATAGTGTAATAATAATTGCAATTTACCTGTGTGTAAATAAATCAGAAGCATGAACTCTAGAAATTTATTTCTAGAGCTCATTATTATTTTGGAAATATGTTATTATCATATTAGCATTAATAATATATTATATATTATTAATAATAATAATATTGGCATTATGCATTATTAATAATATATACTAATAATGTATGAATATTTTATTATTATATTATTATTATTTTGGAAATATACGCTTCATTGCTGAACAAGAAGGAAAGATTTGTTGAGCCTCCCTGCCTTCCTGACACCACCAGGGATGAGAACAGCCTTATCTGCACATCAAAGACCAACTCACACAAAAGACTGTCTCAGACCCAAGGGAATACACTTCCAGCCTCAAAGTTCCCCTGTGCAAAATTAAGTTTATTTTCTAAGTAAGAGGATTATTACTATCTTGGATTTGTCCAGCCTAAAGAAATGTGTGTGCGCCCAAAACCTTGCAGAAAAAGATAATTTTTTTTTGCAATTTCTTAGTCGATCTAGTATAAGGTATCATCTCTGAACCAAGAGCTCTAGAGTTTTGCATTCCAAGAAATTTATTTCAACACTTATGAACTGAGCTTAGAATTCAAATACAGAATTTCTCCATTTCCTGTTTCCAAAAGGGGAGGTGGGATGCTCCCCCACCAGCAGGAAGTAGTGACACCCAAAATCTCTCTCACCAGCCATGACTGGGAAGCTGTAACTTAACAAGCTTGCATCTCAAGTAAAATTAAGGAAGTTATTCTCCCGCTCTACTCAGCATTGGTGAGGCTGCAGCTGAAGTACTGCATCCAGTTCTGGGCACTGCACTTCAAGAAGGATGTGGAGATGCTTGAGAGAGTCTAGAAAAGAGCATATGATTAAAGGCCTGAAGAGCAAGCCATGCAAAGAAAGGCTGACACACATGGGACTGTTCAGCCTGGAAAAGAAAAGACTTTGGGGGAATTTGGTAGCAGTTTACAAATATATCAGGGGAGAACATCAGGGGCTAGGCAAACAACTATTCACCAAAGCACCCCAGGGGAAAACCAGGAGCAATGGTTATAAACTCCCAGAAGAAGGTTTCAGACTGGATATAAGGAAAAACTTCACAGTTCGAGTGACCAGATTCTGGAATAGCCTCCCAGCGGGGGTGGTGCAGGCACCTACCCTGGAGATCTTCAAAAGGAAACTGAACACACGCCTTGCTGGGGTTATTTGACCCCGGCAGTCTTCCCTGCCCAGAGCAGGTGGGCTGGACCTGATAATCTCCCGAAGTTCCTTCCAGCCCTAAACTTCTATGAATCTTTGTGAATGTGTAATAATCATCACCCAGTGTCGGCAAATCCCATTGCCACCAGAACGTGGCAACAATGAATTTGGCAATACCTACCCCACAGCTTCTTTGGAGCCAAACCCTCAAGCCAGCAGTTACCCCTGACTTCTGTCCCCTCCCTATTTGCCACACTGACCACCTTCTCCTACCTGACTTCCCTTTCCCCAAGCACCATTCTGATTTCTGCCCTCCCTTGAGCGTTGCTTTGATTCCCTTACTGTCCCTGAGTGCTCCCTTGACTCCCACTGCTAGCACCTCCACCCCCCTTTAACTTGGCATGCAGGGATCATGTGCCAGCCACATCAGCTTCCTGTACTCCTAGTGGCACTTGTGGAACAGGTTGGTCACCCCTGGTCTATATAATAAAAAGTGTGAAAAAATACTTTAATCCAAGAAGGCTTTGATCAGATGCCCTGAGAAATGCACAAATTTTTTCTGCGCCCAGGTTTAGTCTACAAAGGTCTGAGCTCTTGACCCCATCCAGTCATGCATATATGTAAGGGCTTAGATTGAAGCACTAGATTACTGGGCATTTTTACACATGCTCCAATGCGTTCCAATTAAAACACATCAGAGCAGACTCAATTAATCGAGTTCTAATCAGAATGTTCCAGGGTGCTGCAGCATCTCGTGTATTCAGGGTCCCCGCCTTTCAAAATGGTGGTGGGGGCACTTTAACTAGAGCTCATCAAACAAGCTTTAGTTAAAGTGCTGCCACCACCATTTTGAAATGTGAGATGCTGAATGCACAGGACACTGTGGGTGTTTTAATTAGATCAGCTCTCAGCTCAAAGTCCAATGGGTAACAAGGCCCTGAGTCCTGCAAGAGGCTGAACTCTTAAACCTTGATACAATAAAAAACATATAAGACATGGAAAGTCCCATTGACACTGAGCTGTTTTTTAATGGTTCTTGCCATCAGTGTCATCCAATTGACACTTATACACATGCCCAGTAGAGGGGCGGCGCTTTAAATAGAGCAGCTCTCAAGACCTGCTCCATGTCAATGAGCAGCTAAAAAATAGCTCAGTGTCAATGGGACTTCCCATGTCTTACATGTTGGAGCAGCCCTTTAAATGTGCTCCCGAGTAAACTTACTGTGCAATATTTTTAGTGTGCAGTAAACCTACTTCAAATTCATTGCACATGTAGACATTCCCTCCTTGGTTAAAAAAGGGCTAACAGCAGCAAGCTACTTGTGAAGTTTGGCTACTTTGATAGGTACATGCTTTGCCTAAACTTTTATGATCAGGTCTGAAAAGAAAACACGCAAGTCAGAAGAAACTGCAACGACATTACCTCCTGCTGTCTTATGAGGAAAGCATCAATAAGACTGCGCTGGTCATTTCTGTCCAGTTTTCTGAGATGTTCTATAAACGTAACCTGTGAAAACGCATGTAGTTCATCGCTGTTTCGAAGAACAACCTTGTGGCCCTTCAGGAGAAATCCAAGGGCTGGGAATAGATTATAAATCTAAAAATAAAGGAAGTTAGAGAAAACAAAAATAAGTGCTGAGAATACTTCATGAGCAGGAAACTTTTACAGGCCAAAGCACTCCACCAAAGGAAGTGAATGTTTTTATGCCTCATTTGCTGACCAGCTAACTGAGGCACGGTAAGCTCACATGTTGACAGCTTGGGGTGTAATCATCAGCCAAGCCCTCACTCCTCATTATCTAAGCCTTCCTAGAGTGGCCCTAGATGCTTGCTAATCCACACACAAGAACAGGGAGCCTGAGAGTGATCAGAAACATATATTCAGAGTGGTGCTGAAACAGCTATATCCCCCCAGTTCCAGGATTTGAGGTCTGCTGAGTAAGAGCAAGTCGTTTGGACATGCATCTCAATGCCCCACCCTGGCTTGGCACAGAAGCTGTGTGGACAGGGCCACTCCCTCCATGTGCTGACTTGAGCTAGCCAAATCTTAAAGTGTCAAGTTTAAATCAAAATCCTTTATCTCAATTCACTTTCCAGCATGCTTTATGAGGAGCAGCTGCAGGAATTCTCCTTGAAGCTCAGTGAGACCAATATGCCTTAGAACTGTGAATGCTGTTGAAAAGGTACAGCAACTGGGAGAGAGCCATATGGCTATGATTAATTGACCAAATAACATCAACTGACTAGTCAACTGGCCACATATTATTTAACTGCAGTCAAAACTGTCAAAAATTCCATGAAATCAAGAATGGCCTTGTGTAAGTAATGATCTACCATTTTTTATTGCATTATAGTGTTACCTGTTAGCAAGCACAGGCATGAGAGCTCTGTGCTCCTCAGTCCTGCAGGAATCAGGACACACACTTCACTTAGAAGCAGACACCCACCCACTTGGCTCCCCTCTCCTGAATGCATCCAGCCTTCTTCCGCTCCCCCCCCCCCACATTAAGCCACAAGAGGTTGAATAAGTTACTCTCTGCTAAGGGAAGAACCAGACCCAGCAGCATAGAAAAGCTTCTCCCCTGACCATCTGCTGTGACTGCAAGCATCTCCAAATACAAACAGCAAAATGAAAAAAAGAATTGTTCAGTTTAGAATATCATTCACATTTATACCCACCTAACACCAGCAAGGCTAAGGACAGAAGTTACACATAAACTGGTTTAAGTCATCAGAAACTGATTTAAACCTGTAACAGAACAGAAGTTCTGTGCACATAAACCAGTTCCAAAATGGTGGACAATTGTTTAAGAGAAACCTGGTTGAATGTAGCATCAAACTTAACAGATCTGGGTCAAACCAGTTTGTGAAACTTCTGTCCCAGACCCCTTTCTGGTCCAAGTTAAATCACAGTCCCCCTGCATCCCAGCATGCTTTCCAGCCCTGGGCTGTGCTATGCTGTCTGCTCCAGCAAAGAAGGGTTGGCGGGAGAGGGAGGCAAGGACTGCCCCCCTTTCCCCACAGGCAAACCCCAGCTTGGGTCTGGAGCCAGGAAGAGGGCTTAAACTCCCCTTCTCCCAGCTAAACCCTCCTTCCCCTGAGTATAGAGCTGGCTTGCCTGCTAAACTTACTGAAGCTTAGTGCTGGCTGCAACTGTAGACTACAAATCCCACAGGCACCTGGAATCAGGAAGAGGAAGTGATGAGCAACCCTGCAGAGTCCTGCTGCTGTAAGTCTGGACAGCAAATCCCAGATACCTTGGGGGCAGCAGGAAAAGGAAACAAATGCACAGCCCATGCTGGCTATGTGCCAGAGAGCTGTGCTCTTTGTTGCCAAGTCTCACAAGAAAAAAAAGCAGCACTGCCTTTAAAAACAAGCCCAATTCCACTTATTATAAGTGAACTTGGCAACACTGGCTGTGCTCTAGCCCCCCCGCCAGCTTCTGACTTGAGCTACTGCAGGCACGTGACTGCATACCCTGATTCAAAAGTAAATGTCTGTCCAGTTGTTTCTCAATTTAATCTCTGCAGTTTAAACTAACCTGCAAAGACTGAATCGATTCAGCTGTGGGCTCTTTGACTGTCTGTACTTAGCCTAATAGTTATAAAAAAGCATTACAACTTTTTGAGTTTAATGTCATCAGTAATAACAGCTAACTAACCTGGGGGTTTTTTGCAATAAGCATAAGTATCTAACTACTGCAGATTAAAGTCTTTCTATTAGCAGGGGAGTAGGAAGATGTTTTGTATACAAGATGGGGATTGGGAAGCTCCATTGCAGTGCACTAGAGGGTTTGCACTCTGAGGTTAAATTGTCAGAGAAGTGAGAGTGAGGGGGGATGGGGTGCAGTTTAAAGTTTAAGGCCTTAACTGGGGAGTCTCATGTTGTTTCTTATCCTTTGAGCTACTTTCAGGTATTGTGCACTGTCCTGAGCCTTTCTGGAGAGACCTGAACATTATCATCATTAGTATTCATGATAATAATACTGATGATAATGATAGATAGTGTATGTTATACTAAATATATATATACACACACACACACACTGTTGTTGGTGTTCATGTGCTTGTCATTACTGCCACTCTGGCTATGACTACGTGATTTGATGCAGGGGCCGTGGAACAATTCGGGAGATACAGTCTGCTACACGACAGGAACTGCAGCACTCAGTTTTGGAAAGCAAGAAGTTCTGAGCTGGACCCGTGTATTATCCTCCAGTTTGTTGGACTGTTTCTGATTAATAGGAAAGATTAACGTTCTGCAGCGGCCATACAACAGGATGCATTCATTTGAACAGTGATTTTAAAATATTCAAATTTACCATAACTGACGGACTTCCACAAACCCGCACATTTTCATTGATCAAATGTAGGAGTTTAACGAATTGGGGATCTTCATAGCCAAATCTCTCTCCAAGTACTAGGGATACGATGATATTACCCACTGCTCCATTCATTATCATAATGGGGTCAAAGGGCTTTCCTAAAAATGTTCAAATCAAAGAAGAGATTATGGAAATGGGATGGTTAATAGGTGGTTATTATTATTCTTCCTCGTATGACTGTAGCACATAATGCTCCCAGGTAAGATCAGGACACTATTGTGCTTGGCACTGTGCACACTCATAATAAGAGATACCCCGGCTCCACAGAGCTTGCAATCAAAACAGATGAGACATATATACAAGGAAAACAGGGATCAAGAGAGATTAACAGTGACATTCTACTCTTTCCAGGTCATCTAAGTGCCTATGTTTTTCTACAGAGCGTTTTTGGCACTTATATTCCCAGAGGAATTCTACGCTCAGCTTTGCAGTCAGGCAAACTAAGCAAGTGTGGTTGTTGCCGTAGCCTAGCACATACATACATGTCTTGTGGACATAAGGGATTTTAGACGCCCAACATTGGAATTGGTCAAAATCCATGACTGCCAGGCTTAAGCTGAGGACAGAAGAAGCATGTGTGTGTATCTTTTGCTCTTATAGTTCACTGGCCTTGGAAGCTGGAACCCCAAGCATCTCCAGGAGTTGAAGCATACCTTCTCCAAAGCTCTGCTATCAAGGGGTTACACTGTTTTACAGTTTATTAACCAGTCAGGGGTACATAACCATTGGCCTTTGATCAGTGGTATGTGACCATTGCAACCAGTGTGACAGTATGAACAGAAGGAATTCCAAACCAATTGCTTTTTTTAGACAGCACAAGAGAGAAAATAAGAAAAAAAAATAAGAAGAACCCTGCATGCCATACCCTGCCCCAATTCCTTATCAGCCTTGAACAGTCTTTGGGGGCATTTTTACACCTGCTCCTGATTCATCCCAGGGCACTTTTAATTAGCAAGCCATGCTAATTAAAAGCACCCACGCATCACATGTATCAGCAGCGTAGCACGCCTCCGCACTGAGAAAATGGCTGCATTGCACTTTGAACTAAAGCACATCAAATGTGTGTTAGTTCAAAGTGTGCCTTCACCATTTTCTCAACACTGAGGTGTGCCGCACCATGGATACACATAATGCATGAGGCTGCCAGAGTCTATCAATTTACGTGCTCCAGCAGACTCAATTAATTGAGTCTGGTCAAACGTGCTGGACATCACAGCAGCCTTGCTGCATGTGTGTAGGTGCCCTGGGATTTCAACAGTGTCCTTTTAAGGTCCTGGACGTCATGTCTCCACCTCTGTCTTCTCTTTGAATTCTGAGCTACAAGACAGTTGCTCAGACTACGACTGGACCTTTTATCACTTCCAGTCCACTCTGCTATGTGACTTTCCAGGTCAGTCTCAGTCTGGCCCCAGGTAAGACAAGGCCTCTCAACAGATGGTCAGTTTATTTGTTACCTCCAGCTGGAGGCTAGACTTGAAAAAAGTGTTTTTCCCTCTGTTACATTCATCCTGTTATTTTGCTAGGGAAACACTTGGTTCTTTCTGAATGATCCTTAATGTCTGTCCCATTCAGAGCAGGTCATTTAGGCATCAGTATCCCTATACTTAAACTATGAAGAATGGGGAAAGTGCTCAGCAAAAGCCAGCCATAAAGGCATACACATACGGAGATCATACAATCAAACAGAACCCAGAAACTGGACATTGAGGGGTGCTCCAAGCCATCACATCTGCAGAGCCATCTCTGATCAGATAGCAACTGCTTACTGCAATGCACAGAAATAGTAAGAACTAATACTGCATTATGCTAAGGAAACCTGTAAATCTAAAATATATTCCCCATTTGAAGAGATCTTGCAGCCAGGGGACTTTGGAGGTTTGTGATAAAATACAGAGCAAAAAGTGTTTATTATATTGTCTTCTGCTCCTAAATTTCCTTCCCACTTCAATTCCTGATGGCCCTGAACTGATCAAGGTTTATCACTAATGAAAGAGCTGCACCCAAAAGGGACATATCTTTTCTACTAGTGTCACACTCTGGCCCAGGGTTTTGAGTTTATTGATCATGGTTAGAAGAGTACAGGGTCTTATGTTTAAGTCCCTAAAACTGGGGAGGAGCAGGGGCAGTGTTTTGGGGCTTTCAAGGTTCCATGGTTGGCTGCCCCCAAGAGAAAAATGTGGCATCCATGTGCTGTAAAACTCTCTTTTTCATAAAATAGCTTTCATTTCTTCTAACAGTTGCAAAAAAATCTCAGCGAGATTAGTGGCATTTACTAAAAGGGGGAAGTTGGATGAAACAAAAGCAGCTCTTAACCAGCACAAGCCAAAATTTTACAGGTTTTCTGAAGCTAAGCTCCAACCCACCTTTCTGAGATTCAAACTTTTCTATCAGATATCCACACTCTTCAACAATGTAATCCTCAGTGGCTCTCTTGCCCATTCCTAAGTCCCGTAAGGTTGAGAGGGCAAATCTTCGCATCACCTTCCAGTTTTGGCCATGTGAAAAAATAATACCTGAAGTGAAGAGAAGATTTCAAGTCAGAAGAGTAATCCAAAGCAATGCTTTCTTAGAAATACAAAAGACATCACTCTTCCATCCACAGTATTTGTTTAGTTTAGGGCTAGATGGTAAAGCAACACCCCCAATCCACAAAACACTTAAAGGTTTGCAAGTCTGTTTTTGTTTCAATGAAGGAAACAAACCCTCAGGAAGAGCACGTTGTAGAGCAGGGGTGGGCAAAATACAGCCTGCGGGACAGATTTAGCTCACAAGGCCATCTCGCCCACAGGGCCTCTCCCAAAGCCAAAAAACAATTAGCACTGGCCCTGGCCTTCGGCTGCCCCTCTGAAAGCTGGCACCTCTGTACAGGAGGCGCCTGTGCCAGTGCCCCTGCAGCAGCATCTCCAACTGCTTCCTGAGCAATAAATCCACACCCCAGCCTGGCTTGACCCACCCCCAGCCCCAAGGGAGGGGTGCTAGAGACAAGAAGCATCTGCCTGGAGACCCTGTTGCTGTTTCTCAGCCCCACTAGGTAACGGCCCCACTAGACCAGGGATTCCTAGTGGGAGAAGCGGGACTGGGAGTGCAGGGAGTCATTCAGTATTGGGTCTGGCAGGGCTGGCCCCACACATAGGTGCTGCTATGTGTGGGTTAGGGACTCCTGTGGGAACGCATGAGCCACATGCTATGGGGCCAAGTGGGGCTGCATGCTGCTGCCACATGGGACTGGGGACTCCATTGGGAGCATGGGAGCTGTGCTCTATGGGGCTTGTCAGGGCTGGCCCCACATGCTGCCACCACATGGGGCCAGGGACTTGAGCTGGGAGCTACACGCTATGGGGCCTATGAGGCTGGGCCCAGCTGGCCCCACACGCTGCTGCCATATGTGGCTCTGGGACCCCCACTCATCCCCACCACCTCAGATACACCCCCATACACCCCAGCCCTCACACACACTCACACCGTCACACACATTCCCATGCACCGCACCCCCACCACACTCATACACGTACTCCCACACCCTCCCACACCCCCCACCATACCCACACCCCACACACACCTTCCACATCCCACCACACACACATCCCTACTCCCCAACCCCACACATCCCACCCACACCCCCCAACCCCGCACACACCTTGATTTTGAGCTATTGTGCAATCTCCTCTATATACTCTATACAAACACACATACTTCAGGACAAACATATTTTTTAAATAAAATTTAAATATATTATAGTAGATATTTGACTTTTAGTATACAATTCTTTTTTTTCTTTCATTTCCAAGATGGCAACCACCCCTCCCAAAAGGATTACTTCTGGGGCAAAGGGAGGGACCTCCGGTAACAAAGGTCAGGGGTTAGGGAGTGAGTTTTCTGGTCTCAAGATGGTGACCAAGGGGTGAGGCACCTGTCAAGGGGCAGGGCTACCCTTGCAGGACTGGACAGTTCACCAAAACTGGTTAAGCAGCCCTCCAGCTGAAATGATTGTGCACCCTTGTTTTAGAGAAACAAGCAAAGCATAGCCCAAGAGCAATCCAATTGCACCTTTGTGCTGGGACATGGAGCACACTGATTCCAGCCATTATTCAGAAGATAGGTAAAGATGGGCCATCCACACTCCCTAAGAGGTCTCCAACCACCTGAGTAGACTTGGCCTGCTTCCTCGACTAAATTTGGTCTATGAAGAAGAAAACTAAGTCACCTTTTCCTTTGGAAGAACCTTCAAATACTGGGATTTTAGGTCTCTCTGCAAATGCATCTGCCTGGTTCACCAGAGCTTCCTTCACTGTCTCGTAACCTGAGAGCACCACCATCTTCTTGATTCCCATATGAATGTTGACGACTGGGCCATAAGTTTTTGACAGCTTAATTGGGAAGAAAAGAAAAGCATTTAAAGCAGCGGGCCAGATCCATCCACTGGAGTCAGTGGAGCTGTATCAGAGATGGAGTAGGTCCACTTTGCTTGAAAAAGTTGAAATGCAGAAGGAAAACTATATTTTTTGGCATTTAACCCCCATCTCCCCCCAAAATCAGCCCCTCCCCCCCCCCGTCTGCCACAGCCACTTGTATTAAGCAGGGACGCTGATTTTCTGCCTGAGATAGAAGCACCCTACTTTGATTTCTGCTCCACAGTGCAGCAGCTGTGGTATTAAAATTCAGGAAGTTGAGAGGGTCACTTGACTTAAAAAGAAGAGATGATCATCAACAGCTGTGGAGTGAAGAACAGTGAGTCACTCCACAGCTATTAATGATCATCTCTTCTTTTTAATGATCTTGATGTTCCACTAATCAAGACAACTTTTCTTAGGGAAATTTTGCTTTCTGACAGATGCTCCTGGTCTCTCTCCTTCTATTTCACAGCCCTAAACACTCTTCATCTCTTTTCAGAATCATAAATCCATCCATAGACACCAGTCTTTACCAGAAGCCAGGGTTTCACCTTTAGTTAAGCAGGAGAGGGTGAGTCAGCTGAAGATTAAGCTTTGACCCTGCTTTGACCCTGTACCCAGGTGTGGTCTATGTGATAAAATACAATAATTCACACACCTACCAAAAGAACTGGCAATCCATTACCACTCTGCCTCCTTTGGACCAGTTTGTGGGAATGGAATTCATTTTTGTGAGCACCTTTAAATATTCTCACTTAAAGTTATTTCTATTTAGTTGGCTGGATAATTAGAGATCAAAGGACAATTTGCACTTTGAAATCACTGTGGGTGGAGCCAAGTGCCAATGCAAACTTGGATTCACACAAATGGAATTTAAATGAAGACCACCTGAAAATCAGACATGGATGTTAGATGCTAGCAAATATTAAAATGATGAGCTATCGCTTTCAGAATTGCTAGAAGCTCATGAAGGGGATCAGATGTTCAATCAGCTCTGGAGTAGTGTTGACAGTGATGGAAGTAAGGACTGTAAGAATAAAAAATAAAGAGAAAAAATGCATGCCATTTTTTGCTGGGGGGAAAGAACAAGGAAAACGTGGAAGTCACAAGAAGCGCCTGGAGCAAAAGGAGTTAGAAAGTCCAGTTCTCAAGTTGTGTGCAAGGCAACAGTGTGTCGTGACAAGAACCCCATGAGATGGATGCAATTGGTATGAACTGGTAGAGATGAAAGGTATGGAGGAATGCTTTGAATAAGTTCATTAAGGTGCATAGCACTAAAAGTGATTTGGTCACATAATGGGCAATGTTGCATCCTTAGCTTAGGATCAGTAATATAATTGAATTATAGGCATGATCAGCAATATGACTCATTATAGAAATGTAAGAATAAAGAGAATGATGATTCTTTGGAGAAAAGAAAAGGGAAAAGTTAAGACAGGAAAGATGAGGTAGGAGCAGCTATAGGAAAGTCAGTGTGTGGAGAAGCTAAGAGGGGCTCAACTGCCAGGAGTTGGCAATAGCACAGCTGGTGACCTAGTGTGTGCCAAGGAGTAACAATGAAGTAATGACTCAGGACCATGCACGTTTCCCAGACACAGGCAGAGATACCATGTGCTGGCAGAAATTGTAAGGACAACTCATAAAAGGACCACAGTGGGAAGCAGTGGCTGCAGGAAAAATGGTGCCACCACTAGCAAGGGCAGGAGAAGCCAAGGAAGGAGAGTCATTAGGAACTTGAAATAGAGTCACTGTCACGTTGGGTACCTAAACCTACAGATGGAGCCATATCCCAGGTATCCCCAAAAGCTGTACAAAATCCCCTTGACCTTAGCAGCTAAACAGTTTGGGAGAAGAGAGAAGACTTACCTCAAGGAGAGTCCGGTAGGGTCTCTTCAGGTCTATAATGTGCAGGTTTCCAATGATGGGTAAGGGCCTTGGTCCTGGAGGGATGTCCTTGCTGCTACTGCTGCTGCTCCAGAACCTCCCAATTTTCATGATAAACAGAAGAGTCATGACCAATGCCAGGCATATCCCAATGGGATCAGTCCAATCCATTTCTCTTTAACAAACAGATGGCTAGAGAGGTTAAAATCCAAAACTGAAAAGAGAGAGAGAGAGAGTGTGTGTGTAAATGGCCTTTGCTGGAAAACCGAATGCAGAAACTCACTAGCCACTACATAAACACTGTATGTAATAAATGATTCAAACTCTCCTGTGCCTGCAAAATCATTTAATCTACTCCCCCCTCACTGACCAATCCACATTCAGAAGGGAACAGGCACCACTGTGTAATACAGTGTTCCTGCTCTGCATTTCAAACAACCAGCATAATAAGTCAGCGGACAAGTCTGTAAATGTTTCACTTGGATGAATGGTCAGCCCCCTGCCTTGGCAGGAGGCTTGCCCAGTCAGCAGTTTGTATGAGAGGAGTCAAATACCAAAAATTCAGCAAACAATTGGTTATTTTTCCTAACTAGACCCTGAAGCTGGCATGCCAGACTCGTCCACAACAGGAGGAATGTGCTATGTGCTTTAGGAATACTCAGCATTGCAATAATTCTTCTCCCATGGAATTTCCAGGGGCTTTGTGGGATCAAAGTTTGGCCAACTACAACCAATTTGGAGAAAATCACTCTGCTTCTTTAAGGAAATTTGAATGCCTCCACCACTCCATGCTAAGGTATCACATAACCTTCACCTGGGCTTCTTATAACAGTTTTCAAGAAGACGACATGCACAAGGCACCAAATGAGTGTCTCTTTCCAACTTTTCTGTGGTGTAAAGTGCCTATTTCCCTTAGGCTTCTTTGAGAATGAGAGCCATACAAATTGCACACTCACTATATCCACTTGCTAATTTTTCAAATGTGGGATTAAGGCTTTTCAACCATGAATCTGCCTGCGTTAAAAGAGCTTCCTTCATTGCTTTGGATCCTAACTGCCTTGCCATTTTCTTGGTTTCCTCCTGAACACTGAAGATGGGGCCATATTTCCCACATGGATTAAATGTAGGGGGAAGGGGAGAGGAAGGGAACCCATGTTTCCATATCACTTTTGAAAACATGTTCAGGCATCAGTTTGATTTCAAGGCATAGAGGTTTAAATGCTTGGGGTTTTTTTATTATTTCCTTCTTTTCTCTTCCTGCAAACACATCTGAATGAACAGGTGCCAGGTTTAGTGTTTGAAATTATTCATATGACTGAGCTTCTCCCACTGTGTTTCACTGTCTATTGCTGAATTTTAGGCTTTGCTAAAAGGTAGTAGGCATCAAATTTAGGAATACTGGGAGCAGAGTCCAATTCAAAGGTGACACATACACAGCCACGTAGCTGCATTTTCTGGCTCTTCTTCAGTTTGGGACTACGTGCAAAGTAAATTTGCCTTGTGTGTGTATCTGCCAAGGGGAGGGTGTTGCAGCCCCCAGGGGAACTCTTCTTCCAGTCCCACAGCTGCAGGTTCACTAGTGAGTAAAAGAAACCAAATAGACATCAGACAACCTTTATTCACTGCCAGTTGGTCAATCCACCTGACTGGGGAAATATGCTGGGGGGACACACAAATCCATAGCTCCCTAAGAACATACAGCTTTATAATATATACGACCATCCAATCGCAAGCTAACACGTGGATACACGCCACTAGTCTTTCTGTTGCCCATCAGTTTATTACCATTTCAATCCACCTTCCATATTCCTGGACCAAATGTCTGATTTCCAAATCATTCAGGAGACCAGACCTTGAATGAGGTGAGATCTTATTTATAATCAGTTCTTAGCCACTTAAGTCTGACACCGTCTGGTCATCCCAAGGTTTTCACCACATTCTTCGTACTTTCCTTGGGTGGGTCTTTCAAGCAGTCTCAAAGGGTCTTTCCTAACTACCAACAGAGGACCCTGCTACCAACTAGCCCAGTAGCCTAGTGATTACTAGTGAGCTATCAGTGGGAGATCTGGATTCTAGGCCCGTTCCTCAGCATAATTCAATAACCACCAGGTCACAATCTAGGCTTTACCCAAACATCTCCCCAGCCTTCCCCCACTGAAGCTAGGATTGCCACCTTTTCCTAACATCAATCCTGGACACCCGACCCCAAAAATCACATTATGTATGTATTACTTGTTGCGGGGAATTGGATGAGACTCGAGATTGGGTTGAAGGGGAGTTCAGGGCTGGGGTGGGAAATCACCCCTGGGGAGAGTGCAGAGGAGAGGAGGCAGCTCCCAGGTGAAGGGGTAGGGGTAGGGATGGGGGCAGAGGGGAGTCTGTGGCTAAGACCAAGGTACATAAACAGTATTGATGTTGGTGACTGTGGTCCTCAGGGTAAATAGTGACTGCAGTGCCCAGAACGAGGGAGGCCCTGTCCCTGCTCTTTCATAGAATCATAGAAAATGAGGGTTGGAAGGGACCTCAGGACATCATCTAGTCCAACCCCCTGCTCAAAGGAGGACCATCCCCAAGTACATCATCCCAGCCAAGAATTTTTGTCTAGCTGGGTTTCAAAATCTCCAAGGAGATTTCACCACCTCTCTGGGTAACCTGTTCCAGTGTTTTACTACCCTCCTAGTGAAAAAATTTGTCCTAATACCCAACCTAAACTTCCCTTTCTGCAACTTGAGCCCATTGCTCCTTGTTCCGTCATCAGCCACCACTGAGAACAGTCCAGCTCCATCCTCTTTCAAACCCCCCTTCAGGTAGTTGAAGGCTGCTATTAAGTCCCCTCTCAGTCTCTTCTCTAGCCTAAATAAGCCCAGGTCCCTCAGTCTTTCTTCATAAGTCATGTCCCCCAGCTCCCTCACCATTTTTGTCACCCTCCTCTGGACTCTCTCCAATTTATCTACATCCTTTCCATAGTGGTGGGCTTTGTGCCCTTGCCCCTTGCTCTGTGGAGTCTACACAAAGCTTCCAAAACTTATGGCCCAATTCTAAGACATTGGGCACCCAGGGATGTAGCCCAGTGTGACTCTGGGCAAGGATTCCCAGTGCTTGGACTTTCTGAATGAAACCCGGACTGGTGGCATCCTTTTTTCAATCTGCCCACTCTCTGGGCAAGTGCCTCAACCACTAGGCTGCTGCACTGAGAGATGAGGAGGGCCTCCTCCTCTATCTAAGACCTGCTGGTTGTGGGTTTTCTGCAACTAAAATTTAAGGACTTACCCCACCTCACATATATACCTAAACCATTTGATTTCACCACATGGCTGCCCGGCCAGAGTGTAGACCTCCTGACTATGCAAGCCTGTCCATGCAGAACTGAATCACACACTGTGTGCAAATGCTTCAAACAGGAAATGATGTTGCTGAACACGTGTCATTTAGGCACATAAAAACATAGGCTTAAGCACTGAATGATTTTGCCCACACAGCGTTTTCTTGCATTAGGGGAGGGCTGTCACCCCCATTTATAAGTGAGTAGCTGAGACACAAGCAGCACAGACAGAAGTGACAATTTTAGTCTGATCTGGCCATGGAAAGTTGTTTATAGCTGTGACCAAACACAAATGCACAGCTGCAGGCAGACCACTTAAAAAATGGACAATCAAGTGAAAATTTGACTCCTTTTTCATAGATTCATAGATGGTAGAGGCTGGGAGAGACCTCTCAAGATCATCATGTCCAGCTCCCCTGCCCAGCAAGGTGTGCATCCAGATGTTTTTTGAAGATATCCAGAGTAGGTGATTGTACCACCTCTGGAGGGAGTCTATTTCAGACTCTGGACACTCAAGTTGTAAAGAATTTTTTCCATGTCTAATCTAAAGTGTTTCATAGATTCATAGATGGTAGAGGCTGGGAGAGACCTCTCAAGATCATCATGTCCAGCTCCCCTGCCCAGCAAGGTGTGCATCCAGATGTTTTTTGAAGATATCCAGAGTAGGTGATTGTACCACCTCTGGAGGGAGTCTATTTCAGACTCTGGACACTCAAGTTGTAAAGAATTTTTTCCATGTCTAATCTAAAGGCGGCTTCTAGCAATTTATGACTGTTAGCCCTAGTCTTCCCCTGAGGAGCCTTGGTGAACATGTTACATAAAATTGCCAATAGCTCAAATTAAGAGTGGGGGGGATAAGGTAAAAATGCCATGTTTATTGGTTACATGAAACAGATACAGAAGCTTGGACACACCAGTCATACAAACACACATACACAAGCATACATAGACAGGCATGCAGACAAACCACTCCAGTAAGATGTTATAGTTACCAGCAGATGTTACTCAATATTAGCACTGGATGGTCAGGCCCAGGCTTATTGAGGATGAAAGGAGTGGGGGAAGAACAGACAGGCATGCCTGTGCTCCATGAGGTTGCAGAGAGTGGATTCCTCATCTTGGCTTGTCTGCATCCCACTTTTATAGGGATTTCAAGTCTTTGTTCAGCATTGGGGGTTTTCCATGCTCAGTCTTTAGGTCATTCTAGTGTATCTTTGAATAGGTCATTCCAGTCATTGTGTAGATGGTATCTTTGCCTTGAAGCATTCTGTCCTGGCAGCATTGTGTAGTTCACATGGCAGGCAAGATATGCAGGATTCCTTCTTCTCACTATCTTCTTTGAACTGGATTGCAGACAAGTTCTTCAGCCATCCATTAATTAGCTTAATTAGTTTACTGTGTGGTAACTTATATATCGGTGCCTTGTTGTTTACACAATCAGTTAAATCTTCTTCTTTTTTTCAGGCAAATAGTTATCATTCTTTCACCATTCACCCTCTCACAGAGACACTCACGTACATTATCATTCTTTCACCATTCACCCTCTCACAGAAACACTCACATACACAGGGCATACAAAGTTCACCTACTCATGTCAAGGAGGGAACAAGCACAAAATGGAGTTTTAGTTGTTCATACAATCATAGAGGTCAATCAATTCAATATTAAAATTATCATTTAAACATAATAACTAATGTGCAAAAATTCATACTACAAACAGACATTTGCCCATTCCCTGATATGCACCCCTTATATACTTAGAGGCTGGCACCAAGTCCCACCTCAGTCTTCTCTTCTCCAGACTGAACAAACCCATGTCTCTGAGCCTCTCCATCATATGGCCTGCTCTCCATACTTCTAACCATATGCATAGCCCTCCTTCGGACTCTCAAGCCTTTCCACATCCTTCCTGAAGTGTGGTGCCCAGAACTGGACACAGTACTCCAGCTATGGCTTCACCAAGGCCAAGTAGAGCGGGAGGATGACATCCTTAGACTTGTTTCAGATGCATCAGTAGATGCATGTAGTTCTTTGTTTGCTTTGCTGGCTACAGCATTGCATTGGTGGCTCATGTTCATTCTATGGTCTATCAAGACCCCCAGGTTTCTTTTGGTTGTGGTGCTAGTAAATGTA